GTATTGGATTAAGTAATTGTTCATATTCTTCTAATTTATTTTGAGCATGAAATTCCCATAATGGTGTAATTGATTCAACTGCTAATTGTCTAATAGTTTGAATAGAACCATAACGTAAATAAACACTTTCTTTTAATTGTTGTATATGATAATTTTTGATTGTTTCTTCATTTTCATATGGTTGAAATGTTGATTGGTTTTGACTAATTCCAATAGTTATTTCCATTGGTAAACTACCATTATGAAGTGCATCAAATATTACACCAATAGGAAAATACCATTTAACATTTTGTTCATTTACTGTATAAGTAACTGAACTAATTGGTTGTTCTACTTCTTCAAGAAATTCTGTTAATGAACTTTTTAATAAAAATGGTAAATATTCATTCCGAGATGCATTATATAATGTAAATTTCTCTTCATTCTTAAATGGAATTCTAACAATTAGAGGAATTGTCCCTTCGATAACTTTTCGTTTGATTGTAGAATCTATCAATGATGAATATTCAGCAACTTGCATGTTATTTTTTTTTTTAAGTTTTTTTAATTTTTTTAAAGTTCTTCAAAATAATTCATAAAAATTAGAATAAATTTTGTTTGTTTAGAAACAGAAGATAATAAAATTAAACGGAATGATAAATATAAAAATCAATTAATTAAGTGTTAATAGAAATAATTTTTATTGTTTCTTGAGTAGAGGATATTAGTTTTATGATTCTTTTTCTAGCATTTCTACGGAGTATGTTTGGTTGTGATAGAATCAGTATTCCATGACATCATTTATTCTTTTAATTGCATGGTTTTTAATTTCTTTCTCGATGTTAATTTCAATTTTTAATCTTTAATTAATTTAATACTTTCTTTATTCACTAATCCATTTATTGAAATTACTACTGGAATTATTTTGACATCTTTTAACTTTTCTATTTTCATTAGCATATTCTTTAATTCTTTATACTTATTTCTTTTCTTCCAATAGGCTCCATTAATATTGTGATCAGCCACAATAGTCATATCAAATAATAAACCAGTTTTATTCTTTTTATCTAATACATATATATGGTATTTTGTGATATTGTCCATCACTTTTATGCATTATTTTTTTGTTCAATATCATAGTAATGTCTTTATATTGGAATATTGTTTCATATCGTACTTCTTGTATTTGTGGTGGTAAGTCACAAAAATAAAGAAATAAGAAAGAATAACATAAATATGTTGATGTATTTTATCATTTCTTTATTTGTTTATTATTCTTATTTCTATTATCTTATTCATTTGATTCATAATGAATTAATTCAATGAAATAGTACAAATGAATTGTTTATTCATTTCTTTCTTATTTCTCTTTCTTTCTTATTTCTTTTCTTATTTATTAAAAACACCCTCATTGGGTGTGAATATTTCAAATGAAATAAAATAAATCAACATTGAATTATGTCAATTTTTAATTCACCATTTCATTCATCTGCCAATGAATGAAATGTTCATATTCTTCATTGATTTGTTTTTATTCTTTTTTATTTCATTTTCAATTCATCAAGATTGAATCATTTCATTTCAATTACTATGATTCGTTTTGGTGTGAAACGATATGGATGTTGTTTTCCACAAAGTGCATTTGGTATTCCTTCATATTCAAATGAATCTTGATAACAAAATGATTTTGTTTTATAATTTGCTTTATGAACACAAATATCACCATAATATCCAAATGCAAACAAACAATTATCTGTTTGACTATTTAAATAAAATGCAAGTTAATGAAGTTTATTAATATCATATTTCTTCATTCTTCCATTTGACTCTAATGAAAATACAAATGATTTTGAATCATTTATCCAATCATCTGCACCAACTTTATCAATTTTAGAATCAACATATCCTCCAAATTTATTTCCTTCTTCATCTTCAATAATAATTATTATATGTTCTTTATTCTTTATTCTTTGATAAAATACTGATGTATCTTTACTCCAATTATCAATGTCTGAATCAAATAGTATATTGAACACTTTTCTATTTGTCCATTCTTCTAGTTGCAACATTTCTTCCTCTTCTTTTCTCTTCTCTTTTTTAATACTTCCTGAGTAATAATGATAATTCTTAGTAACACCACCGATTGATTGTTGGATATATGGGAGTGTTTCGACTTCTTCTTTAATAAATTGATTTATTAATTACTCAATCAAAATAATAAAGAACATAAATCAATTAATAAAAAGAAAGAAAACTGTTAAGTCTATTTTAATATTCTTTAATTAAAGTTCAACTTGGTTTTCATCTTCATCAATAATGATGGCATGAGCTTGTTCTTCAGAAGAGCTTGTTTTAGTGGTATTAATTTGGTTTGGTGAATTAACATTTTGTTGTGTAGTTTCATCTTTTTGTTGTGTAGTTTCATCTTTGGCTTTTATATCGTCAAGTTCAACAATTTTTGTGTATTGAACTTCTTGTTTTGGATAGTTAATTGACTTAGGAATTAATAACAATAACAAGAAGTTGATGAAAGGAATGACAGCTAGTACAAAGAATGTAAAATGAGCGTTGAAGGGGAATTTTTGAGTAAATGACCAAGCTATTAAAGGAGATGAAATTAAAGGAGCAAATAATCTGAACAATGCTACAAGACTTTGGCTTAGTCCATTTAGAGTACCTAATAAATCATTTTTCACGCTATTGGCAATCATAGCCATGACTGAGGCAAAACAAAATTGGGTTGTTATATTCACCATAATACCAAAAGCACCAAGTCCTATCCACAATGCTACATTACCATATGGATATAAGTAGTAAATACAAGGAGGTATGTTGTATAAAATAAGGTTACCTAATGAACCAATTCTGTTTGTCCATAATGGTCCAAATAATTTTACTGTTGGTCGATAAATAAATAACTGTGTACAAATTATTCCTACGGCAGAAATCATATTGAATGTTCCTATTTGACTTGTTTCCCATCCAAACCCACCTACTTCAATAGACGCCATCATCAATAAAGGAATAACAGTCAACAACATTGCAGCACCAACAGAAATAATAGAATAACTAAAACAACATAAAATCCCAACAAATTCTTTAGAAAACAACATTTTAACTATCTTAATGGTTCTTCCAATAACCTTCTTAAAAATATTCAAAATTTGAATATACCATTGGTCATTTGTACGTTCTCTTGGTTTTGTTTCTTCTAAATAGAAATAACCAAGAATAACACCAACCATAGTAATTAACGAACAAACTAAATTTGGTAATATAAAAGGAAATATTTCGAAGAATTTCATTCCTCCAAATATTGATGGATATTGTTTTGCTGGACGAGCAAGATATCCTCCAACACTTGCTCCAATTATCATGCCTAATCCATTTGTTAATCCAATAAGACCAAATACTTGTGCTCTATTTTCTTTTGTTGAAAACTCTCCCATAAAAGTTTTAATTACACCAATATTACCATTAACTAATCCGTTAATAGAACGAGAAATAACAGCCCACCAATAGTTGAAAGAAAATCCAAAAAGAAGAGTTGATATAAGAGACCCTAGAGATCCAATCAATAAAATTGGTCTTCTTCCTATATTATCGGATAAAACCCCTAAGAAAAATGAAGAAAGAAATTGTGAAAAGAAATAACATGCATTTAATATCCCACTGTAATACCCAGCTTGACTTGGATTATCTACTATTCCAAAATCAGTTACCATAAATCCAGCATAAGCTGCAATAGAATTGTTAGTAAATGATTCACAAATTAATAATAATAATAATGGAACCAACTTTCTCACTGGAAAGCCTTTTGGAAAAAAATTAGTAATGGGAGAAAGTATGACTTTTAATACCTTATGCATATATTTGAGTATAAATAAAAGATAAGGAGTATCTCTTTATTTTGGCTTTTATTTTGGCTTTTATTTATTATTTAACCCCAATAAATTTCGAGTATTAATGAAGTATTATTATTACCAAATTCTTTACTATATTCAAGACTAATATATTATTTAAATTGTTAATGACTCATCCATTTGTCAAAAAAAATATCGAATTTAAAACGCTCCTTGAATAAGACTGAAAGAATAATCAGGTTTTAACAACAACATAAAACATTTAACACCAATATTATTGTTCTATTTATTTGATGCTTTAAGGTAATACAAAAATAAAATGAATATTTAACTAAAATAAGTTAATTCTACATTAGAACTAACTGGAAACAAAGTAGTTAAATTCGTTTATAAGTGAATAACCAAACATTAATGAAAATTCTTCTTATCATTCATTTTCATTAAATGTGGCTATGTCTCTTCTAAGATTATTTTATTCTAAACAACGCTTACCATACAGTTTTATGAATCATTTTTATATATTCATTAATTGTCTCCTCATTTTACTTCTTCAATAAAAAGAACTTAATTATTTTATAAACAACAATAAGTCAAGAAGTAGATTAAGAAGAGAAAAATCAAAATGTATTATTTACAATCATCATATTAATATTTCTTTTATAACTATCATTAATGAATGTTCAAATAATCAATTTATTAAAAAGAGAAAAGCAAAGTCATAAATATAACTACTATAATTCAATGATTACTTAGTCAATAGTGTTATGAGAATAACCAATGAAAATGAAGAATATTTAATATAAAATATACTTGAAGAAACTAGGATGGATAAAGAAGAAAAATAAGGAACTAGTCCAAGCAGTGATGGAGTTGAAGAAATATGAAAATAAAGAAATTAAGAAATGGGTAAACAAATTAAACCATATTTAATTTATTATTTAATTCACACTTATTTTGTTTTGAATTAAATAATAATTAAATAGTATTATTTATGAATAGTTTATATTTATTGTTTTTCTGATTTATTCTCTTTTTAGTATTATTTCATTCATTTATTTTATTTCATAAATGATTATTTTTATTTATTTTATTTCTTTTCGGTTGTAAAATAAGAAAATACTAAACGGTACATTAAAGTGAAAGTAAATGATATAATAGAAAGAAGAGTAGAGTGTAATTCAATAATAAAAAACATCATATTAAAGAATAACTCTACAGAAATTGATGAAGAATACTTTAACACTCTCATCAATAAAGTAAAAGAAATGAAAATAGAAAAATGTTCAAACATTAATTACTACTTGAAAAGAAAAGAGGCTGACGAATTAATAATGGAAATTAATAATAGATGGATATGGTCAGGAAGCAGAATGCATGAACTGCAAGATGCTATGAATAATATTTCAATGGTTATGCACCTCTATCTCCAAAATAAAATAATAGGAGATAAATTTGATGAAATAAAAGAAATCCTAAAGAAAATAAATAGACTAGAAGATTTGGTCAAGGGAAGAAAATTGTACAGAATAAAGTGCATCATGAAATTAAAAGAATATGAAGAAGAAGGAATAAAAGTTAAAGCACTAGAAAGAATAAAGTACATAAAATATATGATGACAATGATCAAAGAAAGAATTAAATTTAATAAGGAAGAAAGGGTCAGAATCAATACAAATAAAATCATGTTTGATTCTAACAAGAAAATTAGAATAAGGAAGAAAGACCCAAAAAACGAAATATACCCAAATAACGATATTACTTTAGAATATTGGAAATGTTATATGAAACACAGGTGATATTAAATAAAAAGAATTGGAAAATAAAACAAATCACCTCGTGGAATGAAAAATATAGAAATTATGATAATGTCATTATAACAACAAATGAATTAAATATAAGTATAATGAAAATAAATAATTGGAAAGCACCAGGAATAGACACTATACAAAATTAATAAAAGAAAAGATAAAGATAAAATACAAGTAATAAACAAAAGAATAAAAGTAATATAATAAATAATATGATTATTGTATATAACAACAATAAGAATGAAGATAAATAAATGAAATGATTATAAAGAAATAAATAATAAAGAAAATAGAGAAATTAAGAGATGTCAAAAGAATTGAAATAATAAAGTGAAATAATGGAATAATAAATAATGAAAGTAGTAAATTAATTAAAGAATTGAAAACGAAAATTGACACTATAAAGTTGAAAATAGTAATATTAAAAATTAATAGTTTTAATGGAATATTGATTTTATTATAATATGACATACTCAGTAGAGACTGTAGAAGAGAGTAATGAAAGAGATTAGTATAAGATATAAATGAATAATAGAACTCAATTCAAGTAACAATTAACTAATTTATTTTTCATTTCGTTCTTAATATCACTTCTATCTTGTTATTTCTTTGTTTCTTTTCATATTCAATGAATAGATAAATGAATTAATTCGTGTTTGAAATGATGCAAATGATTGAATATTGTAAAATAATAATTTATTCATAATTCCATTTCATTCATTTAATCATATTAATTATTCATTTTAATGATTTTATTCATTATTATCAAAAAATAAGATGAAAAACAAATTAAATTAAAACAAAGAATAAAAGAATGAAAATAGTTAACATAAAATACAATGAAATAGTATTAACTAATTTCATAATACTCATATATTGGTTTATTATTATTTCTCTGTATTATAATTCAAAATTTAATTGAAAATTATAATTCTATTCTTTATTTAACTTTCTATTTTTATTTCATTCTTATTATATTATTTTCTTTCTTTATTTTTTATTTTATGTCTTATTCTTTCATTTCGTTCCAATTTTATTTCATTAATATTATTCTTACATTATTATATTATTCTGTTGTTTTTATATTATATTATTTATTGTTTATTTTTCATGTTATTATTCATTCTATTTCATTATGTTGTTATTTTCTATCATAATACAGTTAATATGTTAAATAAATATGTTAAAATGGTTATTATGATGAAATAAAAATAATAATACAATTAATAAGACGAATAATTAATAAATCATAATCTAAATGTGTTTATAACAATTTCTGTATAACATCTTTTAAAATACTAAATGATATGAAATGTTTCTTTATTTGGAATATGTTTTAAATATTATGTGATGTTCTTTTAATTTTATTCTTTATACAATCATTCAGTTACATAAATTAATGATAAAAATAACATATAATACAAACTAAATGAGAATGATGATGAAATAATCCATGAAATAAAGAAAAATAAATACAAAAAGAAATAAAATAAAAAGAATAAGAAAGAATGAAATAATAAATATTAATAAGAAAATAAATAAGAAATAAATAATAAGAAGTGATATGACAATGATAAAAATATGAAAGTGAATATGATAAAGAAAAATAATAAAAAGAATAAATTAAATAACAATTGATTGAATAAAAACTTAAAAAATGAAATAATATATCATAGAATAAATACTTCTAGAAAAAAAAAGAATAATAAAAGAATAAAGAAGAATAAGAAATAACTAAATGAAATGAACAATGCAAATAATGAAAGATAAATAAAAATGAAAAAAAATAAAACAAACAACTAAATAATGAATGAAATAATGTTATATTTATAATAACTAATAAAAATATTAAATAAATATTAAATACAATTTTATTTATTATATAATCGTTATAACCATTTG